GTTATTATCACAATAAATTAATGTTATGATAAGTAAGTAAAAAATAAATTTAAATTAGCCATTTCTACTGAGTTTAAATCCATTTTTATGCAGAACTTCTATGTAAACAATGTTCTGTTATTGTTTAGTACATACCCTTGTCCATTGCCATTGGAAATATAAACTTCAAAATTTTAAATGAACGTGCTCTACTTGCTGTCACCTATAATTGTCCATGCGAAATTACTAGACGTTGTAATAATAAACAATTTTTTCCAAAATTTTGACCCTGCGATTTGATTATGGTCATAGCAAATGCAGCTATTAATAAGAACATTGTTCTTTGAAATTTGAATGGAAGTATTGTGCCAGAAAATATTAAATTAAAATTCTTTTATTTAAAGTAGCTCCCGCCAGTACTTCACTCTCATTCGAGTTTCATTAACTAATGCTTGTGCAGTATTGAAGTTAAGAATGAGTATAACTGTAGAATTTATTTTTAATTCAATTGATGAGGTAAAATTCCACTAACATTCAATGGTATCATCTCTTCAAATAATAGTCCCGATCACTTCATTAAATGTAAAGTTTTTGATTTATCAAAAACCAAAATAAAAGAAATCAACTTTGCAAAAGAAAAAGTACTAAATGTTTAAAATGATATATCTCAGCAAAAAATACTCCGATTTCGAGTTTTTTATTTTTATTTTGTAGGGAATTCAGGAAGCTTTCACATAAATACTGTTTTCAAATAAATAATAAAAAAATGTGTACTTTTTGAGTTATTGGAAAATAAAATACTGAATTCATCATCAAAATTTATGCAGCTTGTTTTCGGGAAAGTACGTTATATATATAAATTATAAATGTTTCAAGGGGAAGACTTTAGCTAAGTTTCATTAAAATCATTAAAGCCATAATATCGCTACAGTCTAAAGCGAATCACGTTTTTTGGCTGCCAGTTGGAAAGGAAAGGCCTGATGATAATGAAACGTATACAAAAACACTTCTAAATATTTTTGCGACATTAAGTAAAAATTTCAAAGAAATCGGTGAAGAACTTTCGGAGATAAGCTATTATGAACAAACTACTATTTATATATTTATTTACAAACTATTTCATATTTTTATTTATTGATAACACTACAGCTCGTCAATAGCTATCAAACAAAAAAAGAAAAAAGAAAATCGGTTGAATAATAGAGGAGAAAAAGGGGCTGAACCGTTTTGTGTTTGCCTATTTATATAATGGTTAGTTTGGCTTAGATGAATACAAAATGATGCCTAATTAACTGTTGATTGTTATTGCAATTGTGCAGTTGATTGAATTGGACTTTGTACAGATGCAAATGAATTTTACATGTTTAGGGAAGTTTGAATATGGAGTAGGTGGTGGAACAGTTGTTTGAAGGTATTTATGGACGAGGATTGACTTATGGAGTTTGGTAAAGAGTTCCAAAAGGAGGCAGCACGAATGACTAGGTATTTTCCGAAGGAAGTAGTTTTATATTTAAATCTATAGGTTGAGACCTGGTATTGATAGAGTGGATAGAGGAACGTAAAGTAAGGAGTTCCATGATGTAGGGAGGGTTTTAGGTTCTGAGGACTTGGAAAAGGAAAACACCAAGGAGGAATTGTCGTCGGGAAGTAGGATAAAGCCACTTCAACTCGGTGTACCTGAATGAAACATGGGAGGGCTTGGGGATTCCAAAGATATATCTTATGAAACAGTTCATGAGCTTCTTTAATCTTATTTCTAGCCTGGCAGATAGCCCTCCATACACCAAGCAGCCGTAGTCGAAGTGGGGGAATATAAGGGAGGTTTTTAGAGGACTACAATACAATCACAGAATCTTAGGAGTTGTTTAAGGACAGTTATGGATTTTCGGATAATCTGGGAGATATGGTTATTCCAGGAGAGGTTCTGGTCAAAGGTTACTCCTAGGTTTTTGACTGTTGGAAAAAAATGGATAGGGGAGTTATTGAGGTAAAGTAGAGGAAAGTAGGGAAGGGAACTAATGAGATGTCTGGACCCATAAGAATAGCCTTAGTTTTTTCTGCTTTCAGCTTTAACTCATTTCTTTCAGCCCATCTTTTGATGCGGTCGATGTCCTCTTGGAATAATTGGTAAATTTGGAAATCATAAGCATATAGGTTGAATGGCGTCAGAAAGGTCACTAATATAAATAGAGAAAAGGGTCGGAGAGAGGAAGGAACACCTTGTGTTAATTGAAGGGGAGGCGATAGGGGTTTGTTCGGAATTCAACTGTCTGAGATTGATTAGATAACAAGGAGAGGAACCATTTTAGGATGCTGTTTGATATGGGCAGGCTTTGGAGTTTGGAGAGGAGGATCTCATGATTCATGGAGTCAAACGCTTTGGAAAAGTCATAAAGGATTAGGATGGAGACTTTCTGTTTATCTATGGCGTATTGCAGGTCTTGATTAATCTTTAGCAAGGCAGACTGGGTGGAATAATGGGAGCGGAAACCAGATTGTAAAGGATTGAGTAGAAAGTTTTGTTCGAGAAAGCAGTTCAACTGAGAGTGGACTAATCTTTCTAGATGCTTGGATAGATTAGATAAAATGGAGTTGAGTCTGAACTCGGAAGCTGATGAAGGAGTAGGAACTTCGTTCAATGGGCAGACTATGGTTCTTTTCCAGAATTTGGGCAAAATGGAATTTTGGAGAGAGGAATTATATGTGTGTAGAAGTGCAGGAAGTAAGGCTGGATGGCAGAGTTTGATGATTTAATGAACAGGTATTTGGTCAAAACCATAATCGTTCATTTTGGATGTAAGGATGGAAGAGAATAGATCAGTAGGAGAGATATCGAGAAAATAAAACTTATCAGGATTGAAGGGGGTTTCGGTGATGGAAAAAAATGAGCGGTCAAATGAAAATGGTTAGTGAAAAAAGAATTGACCTTGTTCAGATCGACTGGATATTGTGTGTAGGTTTTCAAGTTGACTAGACAGTCATATTCAAAGTTCGGAAAAATAAGAGAGGAAACTAGAAGCTGACGGATTTTAAGAGAGATAGAATCGTGGAATCTCAGAAACTGTTTAAGATGTAATAGATTTTCTGATAATTTGGGAACCATGGTGATTCCAGGACTGGTGTTAATCAAATATTATGTCAAGGTTTCTTATGGAAGTGTGGAAGCAAATAGGTTGGCCACTAAGGTAATGTAGAGGATAATAAGGAACAGAATTAAGAAGATGCTTAGACCCAATGAGAATGGCTTTGGTCTTCTCAGTGTTCAGCTTCAAATCATTGTTAGCTACCCATGTTTTGATATTGTCTATATTTTCTTGAAGCCTTCGGGTCACCTCATGCATCTCTGAAGGATGAAAGGATTGGTAGAAATGGAGGTTGTCAACATATAGGTGATATTGTGAATGATTGATGTAATCAGGAAGGTTAATATAGAGTGAGAAAAGGGTTGGTGAAAAGAAAGATCCCTGAGGAACACCATCAGTTAATAAGAGGGATGAGGAAGGAGCTTTATTGGGAATGATGACTGTTTGGGATCTATGAAACAAGAAGGAATGAAACCAAATTAAAACATTATTCGATAAGGAGAGATTTTGGAGTTTGGAAAGGAGAATTTCGTGAGGGACCAGTCTACTGTTCTTTTTCATCTTCCCCATGGAGAATAGATGGTGACTAACAGAATCTTTCGACACAACACACTCCCTGGCAAGTTTGGGAGTACTCGTGGACAGATTTGACTCAACAGCTTCCTGCAGAACCTCATCAATATCCATTAATGGTCGCCCGCAGCCCTTCTTCCTTTCTAATGTCGTATCTCCACTGCTTTTCAAACCAACATTGTGCAGTGGGCTGTTCAAGGACACTTTCCTCTTCATATTTAATAATTTCACGAGTTGATTCAGCAGCTGTGACTTTTTTTTCCAGTAATGCTTTAAAATTTTGAGAATTTCGTTAGACACTGTCATGTTTCTTCTTTGAAACAAATTACTAAACTGTGGCTTTTTTTGAAGAAGTCTAACAATTTTTGAATGGTATTAAACACGCTTAGAGAATGCTCTAAAGGTATTATTAAGTATTTGTAAGTATTAAATAGGATTGAAATATTTACAGTCCTTTGAAATCTTGAATTTGATAAAACAGTCATTTTTTTTTTTTTTTTTATACACCCTATTATTTTATCACCTATGTTGTATCAAAACATGATCAATTTGATTTCTTGTTTGTGAATTTGCTTATGTTCCTGTATGTCTATGAATATACATGTGTATAAACCTGGTACTTTTAATTGTTAGTTTTTTCAAGATGGCAAAGTTTATTAACCATATTTAATTATCATTACTTCTTTATCGATGATTGGGAAATAAACGTCTTCCCTTCCCACTGTCTTCTCTTACCTTTGTGTTCACATTTTCTATAATTATTTTCATGTTGGATTATCACTTAACCCATTCCAGTTAATAAATTATTTCACTAAAAATATTTTAGTTATTTGATAAAATCAAATCATTAAAATCTTCTGATATTAAATTACTTTGAATTGAGAATATAAATCTATATTGAAAATTATATTGTTAAGAATTAAGTTTTGGTACTTGTGGGAAGAACAAGTTCAGCAAGTGGATCTTGTCCTTTTTGCCAATGGTTAAAAATTAGTTCAATATATTCATGGAAGTTGTCTGTTTAGTCTCTTAAAACTGATAGGAATGCTTATGAAAAACAATTATTGAGCTAATAGATGTTATCATTGTTTTTTAAATTGTCTAGAAAGTTGCATGTATTGTTTTTGAGTATTATTATTAGCATATATTATTGTTTCATTGATGAATTCATCAAATATTAGTTAACTTTGTATTCTGAGTTTTTATTTCATGAATGATATGATGCATATTTTCTAGTTTTTTTTTTTTATTACCAATAATTTACTCCTAATTGTTTGCTCTCCTCGCATATTCAAACATATAATCGGATTTATTCTATTTATCTAATTTTTGTAGCATTATTTTCATGAAATTGATTATTTTCAGATATGATGTACCTCCAGCACCTTATTCAGCTCCCACACCAACTAAGGTGCAGGTGACCAAAGTAGCTACTCCATATAAACCTTCTCTAACAACTGCAGGTAGTCGTGTTTCTCGGCCCTTAGTAAGGCCTGTTATTAGACCTGTTATAAGGCCAGTTCTTAGACCAGTTGGGAAGGCAGTTTCAGGAGGTATTTTTTGTATTGAGACCTTATTTAAAATAAATGTCCCTTTTTTAAATTTTTTGTTGTAGTTTAATAAATAAAGTTTTTTCTTCTTTTCAGGAGGTATTCAGACTCCAGAACAACCACCTGCAGTTGCTACAGCTATCAGTTCTCCAACTATTATACCAGGTAAAACATTAGATTATTTTTATTGATATAATGTAAATATTATTTTATTTTCAGTTAAAATTATTACATGAGTACATTATGTTTTGATTAATAAACTAATTATAAAGTTATTTTTGAATAGTTAATTTATGCTGTTATTATGTATTAAGTATATTAGAACTCTGTTTATTTGGAATTATGCAGCCAGGACTATTTGGATAACACAAAATTACATACAAGAGATATTTTAAAATAAAAAACGCACCCTTTCTTATAAATTGTCATTTATTTTCATTTGATTCTCAGAGCTCTGCACCATATTTATCTAAAAAATGTATTACATACATATAATACGATAACGGTTATGGTAACATTAGTGGCCACTTAAAGGGCAATCTAAACATCTTCATCTAAACAAATTTCAGAAAATAAAGCCCCCAAGTCTAGAGTCAGTGAACTGGAAGTCAGAGTGAATAAAGCCGAACAGGGAGGGAGGGCCTGCTTAATAGATCGCTTGAGATGCGGGGAAGCCTGGTTCGAGCAGGTGAGACCCATCCAGCCCTGGTTACAATAGGCCTCAAGCCAAGCTCCATAAATCGACCTGATTGGATGCGAAGGTTTGATTGTAAATTATGAAAGTGTGTGTTATTCTGAGTAAAAAGAAACTTGTTTGCCGATCTTTAAAAAATGGCTGCTGATTTAAAGAATATCAGGCCAATAATTTGAGGATCGAAACGGGAAACACACACAATGTGAGAAAAGTTTTTATTTTTTTAACTAGTATATATGGGTTTATACATTTAAAAAACAAAATTGCTAATGCGGGCCACTAAGAGAAAACTTTTTACAGCCAAACAAGACCGATTTTTTTTTTATATTTTTTGTTTTTTTCAACTATAACTCCTAAAGGATGCATCAAAGCGAAAAATGTATTCTTTAATAGATTAAAGAACGTTAAATTTTGCGTCAAACGAGTACATCAACTTGATAATTTGGTTATGCGGTAAGGTTTAAAACCATGATCAACCAACGCTGATTTTTACCAAATTTGTCAAAAACTGAGATAGATTACTATAAATGGCCCTGTAACTTGGAAATGAGTTCCCTAAGAGGAAAAACCCATAGAATCAAAGTCGTAGAGCATCAAATTTTGCGTCAACATAACATACAATACAGCAACTTTTAAATTCATTTATTTCTATTAATTATTACTGACATTTTTTTTTTCTTTTTAATCTGTTTTTTCATATATTTCAATTTTAACCTTACTTCATCGAATGTATTATATCTGGTCCAGCATCTTCCCATCAAATTCTGACTTCGTTTTTCTGAATCCTAATCAGGTCTAGCGTCCTTACTACCTGTCACGTCAACTCCCAATCTCTTCTATCTCATCACAATGAATTCCTAGAATACTTTACCCAAATTTTTTACCATATCATTGCAATTTCCGAAACCTGGCTCTAGCCTTATATCCCTTCTTAACTACAAACTAATCTGCCATGACTGGACTAGCCAGACTGGCAGAGGTGTAGCTTTGTATGTTCACGAATGCCAGAAGACCCGAATACTCTACTTGCTCTCCTCTATCCAATCACCTACCCACATGTTGAGTTCCTGATTGTTGAAATTTCCTGTGAGACATCTCCTATCCTTTATGTCGTAGTGTATAGGCCTCCTCTTGTTCCCTTTGATCCGTCATTTGAATCATCTCTCTTGAACTTTGTTCCTCTTTATACTGAAATAATCATTTCCGGTGAACTAAACACCAATTTACTTTCTGACTCCAGCGATAAATCATGCCTCGAAAACCTTTTTTTCTCTCTTCATCGTTTCATCATTCCTTTTTCTTCCACTCATCACACCTCCAGTTCCTATACTTGGTTGGACCATTACATTATCGACTCTGCTCAGAACCTCCTTTCTTCCTCCCAAGTACCAATCTTCTTTTATCCTCTCATGACCTAATCCTAATTTCATATAATATCCATACTCCTCCAATCCTTAATAAACCTCTACCTTTCATCGCCCCCCGGCTCCCTGGATGTGTCAGCAAATTAAAGATCTTCAGAATAGACGTGATGCTGCCCGCATATGCTTTAGACGTACTATGCTCGCTGACGAATACCAAGTGTTTAGGGTGCTCCGTAACCTGACATAAACCAGAATCCGACGAGCCAAATCCACCTATTTCCACGAAGCCCTTTCATCAGCTCCTGATTTCTAATCCAAATGGCTATTCCTTCTCTAAGCTAAACTCTCCCTCTACGGATCTTCCAGATCACTTTCGTCATCAGTTTTTCCAGTCTCACCTGATGATTTAAACTCATATTTTATATCAGCTTCCTCTTCCATTCCTCCATGAACTTCTTCCTTCTTTACTCCAGGAATATTTTTTACCTACAACAACTTTTATTTTTCAGATATATCTCTCATATCCGCCGTGATGAAATCTCATTCCAATTGTTTTGGTCCAGATGGTATTCCCTTCAAATTAATCAAATTGTGCCTATCTGAAATCCTTCCCGTTCTCCTTTTCATCTATAATTTCTGCTTTCAGATCAAATTAATTAATCAAAATCATTAGTCCGCCATAGATGACATAAAACTAACTGTCCTTGTACTCCTTGACTTTTCCAAAGCCTTTGATAACATTAACCATTCCATCCTTTTCTCCAAATTAAAATCATTATTCTTTTCCATCAGCTCTATCCTTTAATTTCAATCTTTTCTCTCTCAACGTACCCAAGCAGTCGCTGCTAAAACCTAAGCCATTATCATTGGTTCCAAACCCCTTCTCAGATCCAATACCAACATTCCTCTCCTGTACCTAAATGACACCCCATCACCTTCAGCTCTTAAAAACTTAGGCATTTTCATAAATCAAACTCTCTCCTAGAATTAGCATATTTCTCACATATCCCAACGTTCAGTTTCTACCCTGAAACTCTGCCATCGCTTCCGCCATCTCCACACGTAGACTTCTAGTATGCACCCTCATCTTTCCCCACCTTTACTACGGCTGCGTAGTGTACGGTTGCCTCTCATCTGAACTCGGAGACAGACTGAAAAGAATTATGAATGGCTTAGTAAGATTTGTTAATGGAACCCCGAGACATTCTCGTGTTTTCCACTACTACACTGAGTTAGGGTGGCTCTTCCCCTCCTTTAGAAGACAATATTTCCTAGGCACATTCTTTTATCAAATAATCGATTATCATTAGCCGTCCTAAGCATCCAATCTCCTTAAATTCAAGTCATCTATCCTCTCCCTCTCCACAAGATCTCATCGTTCTGACCTTTATATTCCTTTCCACAAATCTGCCTTATTTCAACACTCCTTTATTGTCCGCTCCATCACTTTTTAGAATTCTATCCCACTTAAAATCCGCCATGCACCATCCTTATCCATATTTAAAACCCTCTTATTCCAATTCCTCCTTACAATTCAATCAGACGCTGGGTAGTTATTTACTATGTAACAAGGTTTCATTTTTTTATACATCATATATATATATATTGTTTTTTCTTTTAAGAGTATGGAAATGATTTCCAGTCACTTTTCACTGAGAATTGTTTTTGGATTTTTTTCTATTTATAAGATTTTTAAGTCTTGATATGTATTTAATTGTTTACTAATATTGAACACACTCTTCTATATGTATATTATCTTTTTTTTATTTTTCTCCTATCAATCTACATCTTAGGATATAGATTATATAAGACTTTTCTAATGTTTACAATACTATTATAAGTATTCATTTGAACATATTAAGGTACAGATGTAAATCATTCATCTAATTTTTTATTATTATTTTTTTCATTACTACAATGGTTTGACAACAAAAGTAATTTATTATTCCTTTCTAATTTCATTTAGTTATTTCATACTTTGTTGTTTGTAGCAACTATTTTGCAGTATTGTGACCTTATTGCTCATCTTTTTCTTAATATATCTGTAAATACTTCTCTTATTACTTATGTTTTAGTTATTCTTTTATTGTAATATGTATTTTAGCCAGATGTAATGTTAATTTTTATGATCAATATTGTTATTCTTAAGGGACTTTGTCCCAGAATAATGTTGATTATTCTATTCTATTCTATATTCAATTATGGATCCCAAATAACAAAATTGTTCCACTTTACTTAGTTTGCATAATGGTTGGGGCTCTTCTCTCTTCTTTCACCATGCACCTATATTTAGTTTTGTTGTAGTTTATTTGGGGATCTCCTTGCTCATAATGATCTATTATTTTTCTAGGTAGTTTATATTCTCTTTATCTTATATTTTATACCTGGTCATCAGCAAATAATAAATGACATAGATTTTTTTCTCTTAACTTGTTGCCCATTTTCCCACATTTCTTCACCCATCCTTTTCAGCATTCGTCTAGACATATTTTAAATAGAGTGGGGAGCATGTTGCAACCCTTTTCTCTTTTGGAATTCCCTGGATAATAATGTGCCTATTTTCATGTGGCACCTATTATTTGTATAAATTTCTCTAATTAGGTTCCCACTCCTTACATCACCAATCCCACTTTCCTTGCCCCCAAAAGCTATTCATCCTTCCGAAGTAAAATTTCAATTAAAAAAACTAATCCTCCGTAAAGCTCCTGGACATGATCTCCTTACACCTCAAATCCTTCGACAACTTCCATCCAAAGCAGTCATATTCCTTACATATATCTACAATTGTATCCTACGCACCACCCACTTCCCTCTGTTATGGAAACACTCCACTATTATCGTTTTCCCAAAACCAGGAAAACCTCTCAATAGCTCAACATCCTATAGACCAATCAGCCTACTCCCAATCCTTTCAAAAATTTTTGAAAAGATCCTTTTGAAACGAATCCTACCCATTATAGAATCCCAAAATATCCCTTCCCATCAGTTTGGTTTTCGCTCTCAACATTCTACTGTTCAACAAGGACTCCGAGTTGTTGATCATATTTCCTCAGCCCTAGAAAACAAGGAATACTGTTCGGGTGCCTTTCTGGACATTGCACAGGCATTTGACCGGGTATGGCACTCCGGACTGCTCTCCAAGCTTAAAATCCATTTACCTCAGTCCTTGTACCTAGTCCTCCGATCCTACCTCTCTGACCGCTCCTTTCGAGTTCGCTGTGGAACAGAATTTTCCAATATCTACTCCGTTAAAGCCGGTGTTCCCCAAGGCAGCGTCTTGGGTCCCGTGCTTTACATCCTCTTTACTGCTGACATCCCTGTTCATCCCGATACTTTTCTTGCAACATTCGCTGACGACACCGCAATCTTATCATCCAACTCTGATCCCGAAATAGCATCCTTAAATCTCCAAAGTCACCTCACCTTGATTGAGCACTGGTGTAATAACTGGCGCATTAAAGTTAATGAAACTAAATGCCAACATATTACCTTCACACTCCGACGCAATTCCTGTCCACCAGTACTCTTTAATTCCATCCAGCTTCCTTATTCAGACACAGTCCGGTATCTTGGCTTTCATTTAGACCGAAGACTAACTTGGAACCCGCATACTAGACTCAAAAGACAAGAACTCAACCGACGATACGGCCAACTATACCGACTACTAAGCAGAAAATCTAAACTTTCCATTGAAAACAAGCTACTGATCTACAAGACAATACTGAAACCTATTTGGACTTACGGACTAGAACTGTGGGGATCAGCAAAATTTTCTAACATCAAGCGCATCCAATCCTTCCAGTCTAAAGTCCTTCGAACAATAGTCGATGCTCCTTTCTATGTATCCAACAAAACCCTACATCATGACCTTAACATCCCATTTGTCCTAGACCTTATCCCAGAAAAATTCTCCAAATTTCACCAGAACCTTACTTACCACCCAAATCCTCTTGCACAATCACTATCAAGCATCTCCCATCCCTATAATCCTCCAAGAAGGTTGAAACGGCAGTGGCCTCGCGACCTTTTGTAGATTATATAAATTGGAGTTCTGGCAATGGCCAGATTCTTCACTCAAGACATGTGTGTATGTGGCTAAAGTGCTCTCGACCAATCTCCGCTGGCTTTAGTACCAGTGACGCGGTTGGAAGAGTAGCGCAGGGTTCTCCTGGAGTTCCCTCGCCTGATTGTATATAGGTATGCATGTTATTTTTTTTCTTTAGTTTTAATTTTCTTATTTTTTAGGTTATTTTATTTTATTGTCTATTGTATATACTTTTGATTATTATTTTGTTCTATTTATTTAATTTTTTGTACATATGGTGTGAATGTCATCCTACCTCACTATAACCAATGTCCTACAGACAGATTGTTATAATACTCAATAAAGAAATTTAAAAAAAAAAAAAATTAGGTTCCCGATTCCTTGCTCTAATCCAGCCTTCCTTAAGTATTCCCATTGGAGTTTGCATGACACACTGTTATACACCTTTTCCATGTCTATGAAAATTAAATTTAGTTATTTTGACTTATCCATTTGTTTCTCGAATAGCTGTCTTAGAGTGAATATATGGTCAATACAGGACCTCTCTGGTGTAAATCCACATTGCTCCTCAGCTTGAACAAACTGCTTTTCCAGTTGTACTTTTACAATTCTTACTAGCAGTTTTGTGACTGGGTTTGTCACATAGGTTCTCCTTCTTCCTCTGTGAATTAATTTTTTTTTTTTTTTCAGTTTCATTTCTATTTCTCATAATAACTAGTCCAGTCCTGCATTTCTATTATATTCAGTTGCATTTTGTTTCTCTTCCTTCCTTAGTCCTTTGAGCACTGACCATGCTTCAGTTGCTTGTCCAAATCCTAACCTACTGTTAATTTATGCACATATCCTTTCCCAACATTTTCCCAATCTTATGATTCGCACAAGTTCTCTTTTTTTTTTTTTTGTCTGTAAATTTCTGTCTTATTTTTTTTTTTTTTTTTTTTTTTTTTTTTTTTTTTTTTTTTTTTTTTGTGCAGAACCATCTAAGATATGCTTGGTTTTTCTTTTTGATTGTGTTTTCTATGACTTCTGTGAGCCATTCCGTTCTTTTGAGATATTTTTCTTTCATCCCAAGAACTTCAAAGGCTTCTTCTTCTTAATCAATTCCTCTTCTACCCCTAGATCAGTGTAGAGGATCCTGGTTATAGAGCTCGATCCATTATCTTGTTCCCGCACCAGCTGACTGCGTCTAGTCCAATTCATTCCTCTCCTATCGAAATCCTCCCTGACTGAACCTTCCCAGGTCTTTCTGGACCTTCCTATCGGCATTCTTCCTTCCATTTTTACTTCATATATAGTTTTGGCCATTCTTCCCTCCTGCATTCTTTTGACATGGCCAAACCAGCGTAGCCTCTTTTTCTCAATTGTGTTTTCTGCTGGATTTATTCCCAAATTGCTTCTTATCGTTGTATTCCTAATTTTGTCCCTCCTAGTTTTCCCCTCTATTCTCCTCAGAAATCGCATTTCCAATGCTTGGATATTGCTTTTATGTTTTGACTTACTGCCGTAAGTCAGTATGGGGACAAGTGTATTTCTATACACCGTCTTCTTGACATCTTTTTACACTTCTATCTTTGCTAAGAAGCCTGTTTTTAGTGAATGAAAGCATTTGCTGGCCAGTTTTATTCTTTCTCTGATTTCAGTATCTATCCAACCGTTCTCATTTAGATGGGCTCCCAGATACTTAAAATCTTTGATGTGCTCCAGTTCCTCTCTCTTCTCCTCTTCCTATCCTCATAATTTTTGTCTTGTGGCTGTTTATTTCCAGGTTGAACAGTTCTAATTCTTCCTGCAGGATTCAGAGGTTGTATTGGAGGTTTCTTCTGTTGTTCCCGAATACCAAGATATCGTCGGCATATGCCAGAAGGGTGAGATGAACTGGTCGTAGCTCTCTGTGGCCAAACCTAAAAGGTCTCATTCTTTCCTTAGCTCTCTTCAGTGCCATGGTGAGCACTATTATAAACAATAAAGGGCTTAGACTACAGCCCTGCCTTATTCCTTGGGTGCTCTGAAACTCCCTAGAGGTGTGGTTATTGGTTCTGACCTCGCTTATTTTCTTTTTATATAGGCTAACAATGGCCCTCGCTAGGCCTGGATTGACTTCATGCTCATTCAGTGCTCTGTCTATGTCCGTTTTTCTGACCTTATCGAATGCTTGGGTTAGGTCCACGAAGCAGGTATATACCTTTTTATTCTTTTCCATGAGCTTTTCCGAGAGCTGCCTCATTACGAATATTAAGTCTTGGGTACTTCTTTGTGGTCTGAAGCTGTATTGTTCTTCTTCTAGGTCTGTCTCAATGAATCCTCTTAGTCTCTTCTCCAGAATCTTAGAGTATATCTTGCATGGTACAGTAAGTAGTGAAATGCCTCTATGGTTTCGGCATTCCCGGTAGTCTCCTTTTTGATGAATTGGTACTATGACTGAAATTGCTCAGTCCTTGGGTACTTTTTTCCTTTTTCATACCAAATTCAGTAGATGCTGAAACATTTCCTGCCCTTTTGCTCTCATATACTTCAGCATTTCGGGGGTTATACCATCTATTCATTATTTTATTGGTATTTGTTAAAATAATACCTTCCTCATCTTTTATATGTTTTATAATGGGCTCCTTTTCCTTCCTCATATTTCTTAGGCATCTGTAGAAGAGCTTCTGATTTCCTTTTGCATCTTCCTCTAACTTATTTCCGAAATCTTCCCAAGCTTTTCTCTTCGACTGCAGGACTTTTTCCTTTGCTCTTTTTCGCTGTTCCTTGTATCTTTCATAGTCTTCCATGTTTTTTGTCTGAAGATACCACTTCCATAATTCCTTCTTTTGTCTGATTTCACTCTTCACCCCTTCGTTCCACCAGGTTGTTCTTTTTAATTGTTGGCCAATATTGGTTTTTCCACAAGCCTCCTCATCTGCTCCCAGCAATATTTGTTTGATTGCTTTCCAGCTTTCCTCTATCTCGTCAGCATCCCATTGTTATTCGCTGCTAATTGCTTTTCTTCAATTTTTCAATAGCTTTTCAACTTCAAAGGCTATATAAATAAATAATTTATTTATTACTAAATAAATAAATTTGTGTTAAAGTTTTTTTTTTCTTGTACAGTGATCACTACCAATACTGCAACCCAGGGTCAACCTGTAAAAAACACTACTACTGCAAATGTTTTGAAACCAACCTCAAACCAAAAATCACAGATCTTGGTTCAAAAACCTGTATCTCAAGGTCCTCCTCAAATAGTCACTCTGTTGAAAACAAGCCAAGGAATGACAGTTACGGTAAGAATTATGATTGATATATATTGTTTGGTTTAATATAATGGTATTTATGATCTTATTCTAACCACTTGTGTATTTTAAAAGTTATAAAATACTTTTTGTTATTATTTTCCCACTCCACTTTCATTGATAAAATGCTCGTTTACAACTTTGCAAAATAAGTACAGCTCTCCATAGTCCTATTTTTATCATATGATCAGTTCAGGGTCCCCACACCTCTAGACTAAGCTATGTTACTCTAGTCCCTGGCCTCTTCCATATAATATATATACACTACTTGAATACCTTCAGTGCTTGAAACACACCCTGATGATGACCCATATGTTTGGGTTGGAATATTGGGACCAACAAAAACTTTATAATGACTGCATCCTGAATATTTATCACCCATTTCATATATATATATATATATATATATATATATATATATATATATATATATATACATATAAATTACATGTGAGTGTTAATATATTTTGATGGTAGATATTTTATATATGAAAGTAAGAAAATATTTGAATGTAAATTTTTTATATAAATTAATTATTATCATCTTTCGCTTTCTCAGACTTCTGGATTAGCACCCACACCCCAGAGATTTGCTTTGCTAACTATATAAATATATATCACTAATCATACCAAGACTTAATATATACCTATTTCTACCATAGCGGGTCAAATGATCCGACTTTATGTTTCATGCTTGAATGTATGAAATATGGATGTTAGAAAGGAAATAAAAATATAAATTAAATTTATTATGATTAAACAAAATAGTATGTTGAGCATTTCTATTACAAAAGCAAAAAATAAAAACTTTTAATTCATAGTATTGCATTTGTTGCCAAACAGATCCATCATTCGCAACATTTTCTTCATTTATTTCTACTTCACTTTCTTCCGAACTTGTGAGTAATCTTATTCTTTTTCGGCCACTACATACATTCACAATATTTTCCTCTTCATCGTCAGTATCTGTAGAATCAAACTCATTTTTATTACAACCGATACATCTTTATTTTCAGAAATTCATCTTCACTAATTTCTGAAAACTCTTCGCCAATATTATTTATATCTTCTAAGAACTTGTACTGTCTTGTTTGCTTCGACATTTTTCTGGGTAAAAAATGATCTGTATTACTATAGCTATCAAAATAAAATATAAGCTAGGTACTTACCAAGACTTTCAATTTTTGCCACTTTTTCTTACACTAAAAAGCTATTTTCAATCTAAACTTTGATATTTTCTTGAAATTATTCCGAGCTATTTTCGTTGAACTACTTTACGCAACAGTCTTTGGAAGAATGTGCAACTTACTGACTACAAATATGACTGGATAATCTCATAAAACAAAAATATTTGTATAACTGTACATTAATTAGAAATAGAAATAGAAATAGAAAGTAAACTTTATTCTGGGACAAGGTCCCTTATGAATAACAGATATGAACAAAAAAATTAAAACTACATCTGGCCAAAAATTACATTAATCAATATTAAAGAATATATACAGTATCTTCAGTGAAATTAAATTAAAACAAGTAAAAATAAAATAAAATTTTGAGAAAAAACGAATTAAAAAAAACAACATTATTTAAATGAAGATAAAAATAAAATAAAATAAGCATGGGTTGATTTTTAAAATTAAGACAATAAATTTTATCAATCATTCACCTCAGTCAAAATCTGTTTCACAATATTTACTTAAAAATTACTTTAAAAAAGTCATGAAGTCAAATTTGCAAACGGAATAAAATTATACGTGCATTTTCAATGGAAAAGTTCAAAATGGGTCATTTGACCCGTTATGGTATGTTTAGTGATATATATATTTTTTTTTCATTAAATCTTCAAACTTTTCTGAGGGTAAATGTTATTAATAAAATTTATAATATCGAGGAAAACATTTTATTCTACTCTTATACATTCATTCAATTCTTCAATTCATTTAAACCTCAACAACGTTTTGGGCAATTTTACCCATTTTTAAATCTAATATATATATATATATATATATATATATATATATATATATATATATATATATATATATATCCATGTTTATGTAAAAAATATAATAGCACATGAAAGAACAATAAGCGAAAAAATCCAAAATATCAAATCAATGAATGATATCTCCACTTACATCATTATTATATAAACCATATAGTAATAATTTTATATAATTATTGCAAAATTATCTCCTCAAAATCCTTCAAATTATAAAATTCATAAATTATTCATGAATAGTCAATTATAAAAACAACTGAAAAGAAACATAGGAGATATCACAAATAAGAAAAGGCCAAAAAAGAATTTTTTTTAATACTTTAAAATTCTATTCTATAAATTACCTGTGGACAGTAAACAATTAAAAATTATTTTAAAATTACACACCCTGTGTAATGAATTCCACTCTTGTATTCTTTCAGAAAAATATGGTTAATAGGAATGTCAATAAAATTTCCCTATTTACATGTTATTACCATTCTCTAGAAAAGTAAGGTATAAAGACAAGGCATCAAATAATAATATTATTACCTGTAAAATTCTGGTATAAATCCAGCTTAAGAAATATTTGAATGCTTTCAAAATAATGTCATATTAAAATTTTTTTTTCATTAGTGGCAAAACATTATTTATTCCAACACTTCAACATTGACAAACATTATTCACTAGAATTTTGCACTGAATTAGTGGATTACATATATTTGTCTTCAATTAGCTGGCAAAAATCAGGGAAATTACAAAAAAACATCGACTCCAGTTGTTCTAGCATCAGTAGAAAGAATCACCACTTGCATTTTTTTTTTCTAATTTTTAAAGTGAATTTGAATATATTTATATAATAAAATGATGTATATTAGATTGACTTGTTTCATTTCAGATGCCAAAAGTTAGCCTTATCCAGGGTAAAAGTGGTTCAAATACATCTTCAAATGTTAAAACTGGAATCCCCCAAGGTGCTACAATTGTTAAGCTTGTTAGTGCTTCTACTAATCAAGGTATCAATTTAACATTTACATTATTGTTATATTATTTTTTCTTTATATCATATAATCTTCTTAAACCACATTATTATTATTTTTTTCTTCTAAATAAATTTCAATTTTTCAGGGACCAATCTTTAGTATATTCATTTATCCACAACTCCTCTTTGGTTTATATTAGTTTTCAATTACTTTTAAATTAATGTAGATCTGAAATTAAGAATTTACTTATTCTTTAATTAAGTCATAATAATTTTTAACTTAAATAATAATAAACTCGAAGAGACAGGCACAAGTTTTGATTTTTACGATCTCTTAAGAATTTTTTTTAAATGGATTATGGAATGGACTGAATACCTTCACTTACCTATGTATGAAATATATAGTAAGGGGCAGTATTGCGATTTTGAAAATTTTTAAATCTGAGTTTTCAACGGAAATACCTGGTTCAAGGTCTTCTGAGTCCAAATAACCAAGTCCCGCAAAATGGTCTCTGTTTTTTTTTTTTTTTGTGTGTGTGTGTGTGTGTGTGTGTGTGTGTGTGTATGTATGTTATCAGTCCAGCTCAAAAACAAAATGTCGTATGAAGGTGAAATTACATATTTCACTATTGCATAACTGAGAGTTATGAATAAAATACAAATAATAGTTTCTTAAAACTGACATAATTTAACATAAACCACATGTTTCCAACGAAATTAAATGATTTTTTTTTTTTTTTCGCGGCAAGAGTGCACTACGATGTGCACCATGTAGGCCTATTGTACGCCTAGTTTGAAGTCACTTCAGTTAGAGTGTAATTCCTGTAGTCTCTATGAACTATAATAAGCTTGTTGGATTGATAAGTTCGTTTGCCTTGGGATCCTTCTCCATATCAGTGCTGAATAAATAAAATCTTAGGCCAGCAAACCCATCGCACCAGCAAGTAACATGATACGCTGTCTCATCCTCCTGGCCACAGTACCTACAGAGAGACGACTCTGTAACCCGGGGTTTGAACATATGATAATTTAGTTTACAGTGCCCTGTATATGCTGCTGTAATTTTCTTAAGTGAGCTCCTGCTCAAATTAATTAGTAAGTTGGTTCGTTTTTGGCAGATTGAAACACTGTTGCGTAATTTCCAAGTGCTATTGACATGCCCTCCTCTAATTTGTCCCTTCTCCAGAAACCAGCTCCAGATCCGCATGTCATAAGTGACCCATTAGTGTAACAATTGACCCCATTAACGGGCTTATGTTTACCTGAGCTGTCTATTGTAACATTATACATCTTTGTGAGAAATTCTCGGGTTTGAATGTCAGAATGCATTGTAAGCAGTCTATCAGCCTCAATTTTTCTAGATATTCCATAATGTCCCTCCAGAGTATTTATCTTTGAGCATAGTTTTAATTTCTGTAGCCTGTAAAAAGTTTTCATGGCCTGCTTTTCAATTTCAAATTGCAGTGGTAAGATACCCAGCATTATCTCCATGGCTGCAGTTGGAGTAGTTTTCATTGCGCCCTTTATTATTAAGCAGGCTAGTCTCTGTACTTTTTCCAATTGTATCCTGTTGTGGCCAACTCTTGCCTTATGCCACCATACAACAGTTGAATATAAAAGCATAGCTCTAACAGCTGCAATGTACAACCAGTAGACCATCCGAGGTTTAAGTCCCTATACCTTCCCTACTGCATTCTTACATGCCCAGAGGCATTTTTGGGATTTTTTAGTTGTGTTCTCTACATGTTTATTCCACATCATTTTGTTGTCCAGCATAACACCTAGATGTTTTACCTCCTTACTTTCAGTTAGCTGGATATTATTTATTCTGGGTAGTCTTATTTCTACCTTTATTTTCTTTGTAAAGATGCAGACATTTATCTTAACCGGATTGACACTAAGTCCACTGGACCTGCACCATTCTTCCAAGATTTCAGTCGCATTTTTCAGCAGATCAGATAGAACATTCTGATGTTTTCCACCAATAAGAATAGCGATATCATCCGCATATCCTTGTGCATAGAAGCCTGCAGTGTTTAGTTTTAGGAGCAAGGAGTCCACCATCAAGCACCACAGTAATGGAGAAAGCACACCTCCCTGTGGACATCCTCCTCGAGGTTTAATCCACATTACGGTGTTTCCTAATTCAGTTTTAAGAGTTCGCGTATCCAACATATTGCCAATCCATTTGGTGATAAGTGGATCTATTTTTCTTGTCCTTAGAGTATGCATAATAGTTTCATAAGAAGTTCTATCAAAGGCACCTTCTATATCAACAAAAGTACCAATAATTACTTCTTTCTGATTCATGGATTTTTCAATCCTTGCTACCAGATTGTGTAGTGCAGCTTCTTAAGATTTACCTGGTTGGTAAGCGAATTGATTAGAGTGTATCGAATTTGCATTCACTAATTGCTCTCTTATATGCCTGTCAAGAATCTTCTCCATTGCCTTCATTAGAAAAGATGACATGCATATTGGCCTGAAAGACTTAGGATCATCATATGTTCCTTTTCCAGGTTTTGGTATATAGCGCAGTTTAGATCCCCTCCATTCTGAGGGAATGTAACCAAGCGCCAAAATTCTAGGAGATAGGGTTTATTGGCTGAAAGTCTTTTCTGAATCAGTACTGGTAGGATCTCATCCAAACCAGCCGATTTGTAGGGAGACAATGTGTTTACAGCCCATTCCAGTCTATTCACTGTAATGATTTTTCTGGCCTTAATCCAGCCATCTCGATTAGATGTATTGCTAGGGATTATAGTATCTATACAGGCATTTTCCATGGTCTCACATCCAGGAAAGTGTGCTATTGCTAGTTCTCTCAGGGTTTTCCAGCTCATTACTTGTGTATTTGCCATTAACCCTGAGTGTGCCCAGTATTCCTTGGTCTTTCTGTTTAGTAAGTATTTTTTTGATCCTGCTTGCCATAGGAGTGCTGTCAATTTCCTGGCAGAAGTTCCTCCAGGACCGTCTTTTAGCTTTCCTCACAGATTTGTGGTATTCAGTGAGGGCTGTCCTGTAAACCTCCCAATTGCCATGTTTTTTTGTGGCATTGAACAACCTTCTAGTGAGTGTTCTTTGCCTCTCTAAGTCCTTGTTCCACTAGGATACCATTCTTCTGGATATCCTGGTTTTGATATCATTACTTCTCAAATATGAGTTCCTAATTGCGGCTGTTAAAGAGGAATGAGGAATTTAGGCATTCTAACTGCCAGGTTTACCAGGTGTCTATTTTTTTTTGGACAATAGATAATTGCCTCTTCTAAATATGATAGGTATTTTTTCCAGTCCGTAAATTTAGGATTTCTATAGTTCTCTATGGTTTTGTTGTCAGACCAATTGAATCTGATATACTTATGGTCTGAACATGGTCTGCATCCAGTACATGCCAGTTTTGTATTTTCGACGCGACCTGACTAGAGGCCAGCGTTATATCTATGACCTCTGATCTTAATTTATTAAAGAAGGTATGTTTATTTCCCTTATTTAGTATCTGTAAGTTATTACTAATAATAATATCCAGTAATATCTCACCTCTAGGGTTGTTCTTGAAACTGCCCCATATGATGTGAGCATTGGCGTCCAGTCATATAAATACCCACTAGGGTATTTTCATTGCTGGAGTTTAGAATTTCTTCCATGTCTTGAGCTGGGACTCCCGACTCATATGGCAGGTTACCGGCCACTACAGTCAGTGTCCTTTTGTCCTTTGATGTGGTAAGTTTGGCTGCTGCCAAGTCCCTAGAACAAAATTGCCAAAGAGGCAATAGTTTTAGTGATTTTTTATATAGAATACAGGCTCTGGGGTTGGTGGCCACAGAAATTATTCCATAGCCATTAATTCCCAACCTACTGATCCTGTTATTATTTAAGTAAGGTTCTTGGATTAATATGATATCAATATCCTCACCTTTGATGTAATGTAGGAGCCCCCCACTAGTCGCAATGCAGTGGTGTAGATTTATTTGCAGCAGCCTCATAAGGTTTCTTAATCGATGGACATTTTGGACGGACTCCCGGGTGGAGACTGTGGCAGGCTTTCACCCTCAGACCCATCCTTAACTGAGTCTTTGGGATCAGTCCCTCCTCCGGCTTCCTCCAGTGCCCATTGTCCAAAACTTCTTACGTTGAAAGTATTAGAGGGCTGATTCTCCGGTGGTTCCAGTGGCAGGATTTTACCAGAGGAGACAGTTTTCACCATCCTCTGCGGCTTCTTCCCTCCTCCTGGTTTTCCTCCGGACCCAACCCCCTTTACTCTACTTGATCTTCCAGGGGCCCGCCACACGGCCGACGAGGATGGCTGGGATTCACCAGGCAAAAGAGCTTCCGCAACCCCATAGCCGGCTCCCTTCTGACTAGCAAGGTGGCTAATTGGTGGCAGATCCTCTGATCCACCATAGTTTGGAGCTTTAGCCTCAATGCCTTCCAGGACCTCCTCCTCTTCCTGTGGCATTGAGGATTCTTCCTTATTATGATCTTTCAATACTTTGAAAGTAACTCAGCACCTTCCATAGCCAGCTATCATGTCGTGTTTTTTTAGGCTTTTCAAGCTGGAGTCCATCTCTTAGTGCATAGTGCAGATACCACTCATTCACTCCTTCAATAGTGGTATTCTGTGTTCTCAGCCTTTTCATTAGGGCCTCCTCGGTAAGTACCTTGCCCGGAAAGAAGGCCCCAATCTTCCGAGTTTTTGTTAGTTCCTGTGCATCCCCTGTGTGAAGGGTAATACCCGCCACCAGATTGATGCTTGGGATGATTTTGTCTAGCCATGTGCACATCTCATTGTTCATGCATGCGACAATTCCTCCCCCCATCTTGTAGCTAATGCCATCAAAAAGTGGGTGGTATTGTCCATGTTCATCCAGCTCATCCACCTTTTCAGCGATGAGTTCTTTCAGTGCCTCAAGCTGTTCGCGGTCGAGCATGGCTAGCGGATAGTTCGTGGGAACCACAGCAACCAGCTGACCTCTCAAGGCTGAGGCATATTTTCTGTTTCCTGCTTCTCTGGGTTTCTTGGCAATAGGTGCCGAG